CCAGAAGTTCTTTTATTGTATAAGATTGTTTTGGCTATCCTGGGTTTTTTGTTTTGCCATATAAACTTGATTATTGTTCTCTCAAGGTCTGTGAAGAAGTTTGATGGGATTTTGATGGGGATTGCATTGAATCTATAAATTGCTTTTGGTAGAATTGCCATTTTTACTATGTTGATTCTCCCAATCCAAGAGCAGGGGAGGTCTTTCCATTTTCTGGTATCCTCCTCAATTTCTTTCTTCAAAGACTTAAAGTTTTTGTCAAATAGGTCTTTCACTTCCTTGGTTAGAGTAACCCCAAGATATTTTATGCTATTTGTGGCTATCATGAAAGGTGATGCTTCTCTGATTTCCCTCTCTGCTTCTTTATCCTTTGTGTATAGGAGGGCCACTGATTTTTTGGAGTTGATCTTGTATCCTGCCACATTACTAAAGGTGTTTATCAGCTGTAGGAGTTCTTTGGTAGAGTTTTTGGGGTCGCTTATGTACACTATCATATCGTCAGCAAATAACGAAAGTTTAACTTCATCCTTTCCAATTCGAATCCCCGTGATCCCCTTATGTTGTCTTATTGCTATTGCTAGAACTTCAAGCACTATATTGAAGAGGTATGGAGAGAGTGGACAGCCTTGTCGCGTTCCTGATTTTAGTGGAAAGGCTTTGAGTTTCTCTCCATTCAGTTTGATGTTAGCTGTCGGCTTGGTGTATATTGCTTTTATTATATTTAGGTATGATCCTTGTATCCCCAGTCTCTCCAACACCTTTATCATAAATGGGTGTTGAATTTTGTCAAATGCTTTTTTTTTTTCAAAAAGTCAGTAAAAGGTTCTCTATGACCCTGTTTAACCCTAAGATATGGTTCAACTCTCTTTTCTGGTTCCTGAATCCTGTCCCAACCTTTAAAGCTGCTATGGTACATAGGGACAAGGTGTGCTCATCATAAAGAGCTTGGTCTTTAGAATCAGAGTAAAGTCCTTCACCTAAAATTTGATCTAGGAAAATCTCAAGTTCTTTGGCTTTTTCTTGTTGCTCTAAAATGCTTGATTCCTCTTTTAAAAAGCACCTCCAAAGCAATTGCAGTCCACTTTTTGGGACTTCTGAGATTAATTGAGCCCAAACTTGAGACATGGCTTTGCTACTGAAAGCCAACATTTTGACCATTTCCCTAACAAAGGATGACTGTAGTCCATAAGCTACAATTGCTTGTTTAATTTCATTTAGATCAGTCATATGTGTGGGCTCCCATGTATAGTCCTTGACAAACTTAGGGTACTTGGAGCCAGATACATTTTCTTTTGTTATTACTAGAAAGGCAGGCAGAACTCTGGAGAAGCTATCCCAGAGATTTTTACGTGCCTATGAGGTTAAATTTTGCCTTTTATATTTTGTTCCTGGTCTTCAAATTCAATAATTTCCTCAATCTTTTAAAATCTGTTTACCACTGCCTTTTGTAATGTCTGGATCTCCTGTCCAGTGTTCTACTATAATGCCCTCACTCAGGATGCCAAGGTATAAAGTCCGTCCAGTAGAGATAATGTCTCATCCTTGGACATAATCTTTATAGCATGCATAGTACCTTCCTGGAGAGACATTCTATCAATCAATCTGTCGTACCCCTTTGACAGAGTCTGATTAAAACATTCAACAGTGTGAAGTCTCTCAAATAATGTTTCGGCACCCACTATCATTGATTGGGTTTTATGTGCCAAATCGGCTGTTTCTTTCTCTAGAGTTCTGAATCTTCCTTTAAATAAATTACTATCAGTCTGTACCATTTCCAAAAGTATCTCAGTTGACCGAGTTTTGTTAGTTAAATTGTTCATATCCTTCTTCAGATTTCAAACCTCTTTCCTGGGAAGTGTGGTTTCAGTCGGAAAAGACTGTACCATTTCTAAAAATGTCTTATTCCTAGCCCTATTGTCAAACCATATTTTTATGAAAAAAATAATGAGTACAATACTAATCCCCAGAAACAAAAATGGTGATGTAGAAGGGAAATCATATAAGTCTTGTAAAAACTTGCACATGGTGTAAGTAAAGAGGCTATTGGAACCTTGGATGGTTAGATTGTCTGACATATTACCCCTTTAAATGAGAAACTTATGTTCTATATTTAGGATATTAAATCTTACCTGTGGTTCAATCAGCTAGATTAGGTGCAATAACTGTAACCTGCCAGTAGGCGTTGCGGGCCACCTACAAAACTAACACAGCAAGGTGTAGCGGTGCATGGGAATTCACGTGGCTAGTCTAAAATCTGAGTTTAGAGCAAAATGCTGAAAGACAAATCACAGACTGTGTGCTCTGCAGATGTCTTTAGAGCAATGGAATAGGCAAATGCAAACAGATCATTAGAACACTGCAGAACAGTTGGCTCAGATGTGGGAATCCCATGTCTCACCCAAATGTCTGCAGTGTGCCCTGGTGGGAGGCAAATGGTAGGGTGTGTGGGTACTTGAAGTCAATCTGAGTCATGTAAAGAGGAAAGAACTGCAGCTGATCTATAGAAAAACCACTGCGCAAGATTCTATGTGACTGCCTCTGCCAGGGTGGAAGAGGACAGCTGCCGAGTGAACAGGCAGAGGGGCTTATGTAGGCCTTCTTAGGGGCATAATTTTTCAAGAGAGATTTTTCAGTGAGGGAACTGGTCAAATTTTGATCACCTTGAGCTTGGGCAAACTCTGATTGGCTAGATTTTATGCTCAGGAATTGTTTGATTTTCTTCTCAGGGATTTGTTGGCTTTCTGCTCAGGGATTGATTGGCTTTCCTGGTCACAGATTGGTTGGTTTTGTGTTCAGTAGATCAGGGACAGATTTGACTCTGGTTTCAGGGCCAAAGTGTGTTTCTTTCACTGGCCCTTTTTAGCCTTTAGGCTCTAGTTTCAGGGCCAGGATGTGTTTCTTTCCCTGACCCTGGTTCCAGGGCCATACTGTGCTTCTTTGGCTGTGGTTTCAGGACCAGGATATGTTTGTTTGGTAACGGTTTCAGGGAAAAGGTATTTCTTTCATTGACTCTGGGTCAGGGCCAGGCTGTGTTTCTTTCACTGGCTCTGGTTTCAGGGTCAGAGTGAATTTTTTCACTGCCTCTGGTTTCAGGATCAAGGTGTATTTCATTGACTGGTCCTTTTACTCTACACCTATAACAAGAGAGTCAGTGGGAGAACATTTTCTTTCTTAGAAAAGTAAAATAAAAACAGTGTCTGTAGATCACTGTGTCTCATGCCATAGAGTTTGGGGTCTTGGAATGCTGCAGTCTGACCTAAGACTACATGGAGAATAAGATAATCCTTGAGGGGTGCTACATGGCCCCATGTTCTCCCTGGCCCCAAATTCTTGAACTTTCCTAGTGAGTATAACCCATTATCTGCTGTCCATGGATACCGGGAGCACTCTCCTAAATCTGGAGAGGTGGCTCCAGACATTACAACAGGATTCTGCCCATCCTCCTGGATTCTGACACCTTTTGCTATGTAGATTTTCTCCTGCATCCTTTCACTGCAGCAAGCTGGACTGTGAGGGCAGCAGCTTTTATATCCGTGAGAGACCTCTTTTTTATTTTATTTTTTATTGATTTTTGTTGAGCTCTACATTTTTCTCTGCTCCGCTCCCTGCCTCTCCCTCCCCTTCAACCCTTTCCCAAGGTCCCCATGCCCCCAATTTGCTCAAGGGATCTTGTCTTTTTCTATTACCCATGTAGATTAGATCAATATATGTCTCTCTTAGGATCTTCATTGTTGTCTAAGTTCTCTGGGATTGTGGTTTGTGGACTGGTTTTCTTTGCTTTATGTTCAAAAACCACTTATGAGTGATTACATGTGATATTGTCTTTTTGAGTCTGGTTTACCTCACTCAAAATTATGTTTTCTAGCTCCCTCCATTTGCCTGCAAAATTCAGGATGTTATTTTTTTCTGCTGTGTAGTACTCCACTGTGTAAATGTACCACATTTTCCTTATCCATTCTTTAGTCAAGGGACATTTAGGTTGCTTCCAGGTTCTGGTCATGACAAACAACGCTGCTATGAACATAGTTGAGCACATGTCCTTGTGGCACGATTGAGCATTCTTTGGATATATACCCCAAAGTGGTATTACTGGGTCTTGAGGAAGGTTGTTTCCTAATTTTCTGAGAAATCACCACACTGACATACAAAGGGGTTGTACCAGCTTGCATTCCCACCAGCCATGCAAGAGTGTCCCCTTTACCCCACAACCTCTCCAGCATAAGTTGTCAGCAGTGTTTTTGATCTTGGCCATTCTTACAGGTGTAAGATGAAATCTCAGAGTTGTTTTGATTTGCATTTCTCTGAAGACTAAGGATGTTGAGCATTTCCTTAAGTGTCTTTCAGCCATTTTAGGTTCCTCTGTTGGGAGTTCCAGTGAGAGGCCTCTTAACCATTTGTGGAACTTCGGGATCTTGGGGATCTATATCAACATCTTTCACCAAAATGAAAATTTTGCTGATTTCCACCAAAAGCCATTCACATTTCCTCACAAGACCCACTGAGGCTTGACTTGTGTCAGCAGTTTGCCAACAGCCCAGCTGCCATTGATGGATATTTAGATGGGATGTAGAGTTAATTGCTGAACACCAGCACAATGACCTCTCTTCCTATTTTATCACAGTGTTTCCTATCTCTTCCTTTCATTCCCTCCTCCTTCCCTTCATCACAACCTTGTGACTACATACCCCCTTTTGATAAAGAGTTTCATTAAGTAGATGGAGCAATATAGCCCAGGCTGACCTTGAACTCGTAATCTTGCCTCAGGATCCCTTGTACTATACTGAAGGTCTGGGTACTGAAGGTCTGGGTAACTGCACTTGGCCCAGTAAACACTTTTCTCAAAACACTAATGTTCATCAGAGAGGTCTGAAGAGGAGGGGAGAGACTGATTGTAGACTGCTGTCTTGGGACACAGTTGAGACAAAGATGGGGCTTGGACCAGGAACTTGAGTGGCAGCCAAAGAACAGGTTGATAGGACATCAATCATCACAAGCCGGGGGAAAGGATTGAACTGTTGTACTTGCTAGCGCACGACTGCACAGAGCTCATATGGAATTGGGGTAAATGACAATGTGAAAATACCATGGTCGCTGGGCCGGGGCTGTCCTTTGGGCACCGAGAAGCTAAAACGCTGCAGGAGGCAGGTGAAGAAGAGGAAGAGCTCCATGCGGGCCAGGGGCTCCCCAAGGCATGCCCGGCGGCCTGTAGGTGAGAAAGAAGGTCAGGCAGTCTGGAGCTTGATTGAAGGGCCACCCTTCAAAGCACCCGGGAAGAAACATGGAGCCAAGCATCCCACAGGACCTGCTGAGAATGGCATGAAGGCCTTATGCTTCACAAAGCGACCCTGGGCATCCAGGAAGTGCTCAGGATGGAAGCGGAGGGGCTTCTCCCAGACAGTCTCATCCTTCAGCACTGAGGACAGGTTGGGGATGAGGGTTGTCCCCTGGCAGGAGGCACATAGTGTGAACATAGATTGCAATGGGCTGCCATGACCCTTGCCATTAGGTTCATATGTACAACTTCTTCCTGCACACACTGGGTTCTTTCATTGAACATTAGCTCCAGAGCCTCTCAGCCCCTTTTCTAAAGGCAGAGACAATATGGTAATGAGTGTCCTATGAACTCCCAAGTCAGCACTTGTCCCTGTGTGCAGTGTTTTCTAAAATCCCTTGTGATTTATTTCACTGGACAATCCCATTTCCTGGGGAATCCCAAGTAATAACCACAGTGTACTGAACCCAGGTTAGTTCCATCACCATGTAGAAATTCAGGGTGTGTTACTTAAAATTACCACTCTTGTTTGCCTATTGGGAATCCTATGAGAAGGATGCCCATGCCTACCTTAGGGATGAGGAATCCCTGTACTTCAATGTCACGGAATGTCATACGTGGAAAATTCAATGGAGCAATGTCACCAAATCGCTGAATCTCATGGACAACAGCATTGGTGTAGGGCATGCGGGCCTGGTCTGCCATCTCTGGACACCGCACCTGCCCTATGACTTCATCAATTTCCTGTTGGACGCGGCCTGGAGGGACAGCCTCCCCTCAGTGAAGCAGTCCCTTAGTGGCTCTTCCTCGACCTTCTACCACTGGGTGAGTAGGTGACTAAAGACTCCCATCAGAATTATGGGACTCTGAGTCAAGGTGATGCTGGAGCCCCCAGCTTCTCAAGTACTTCTACCTTTCTTCCTTACGTTAACTCCCAGCCCTAGCCAGGCTCACTCTGCACATCTGGGTGTAGGATCATGAGCAGCAGGGCCCAGGACAGTGTGATCGCAGAAGTCGCAACCCCTGCAATGAACATGTCAGCCACCATCACACGCAGGTTCTCATCATTGAAGCTGCTCTCAGGATTCCCCTTGGCCTGGGTCAGGGGTCAGACAGAGAAAGTAGGCTCAGGGACATGGAACAAGGGAAAAATGATCTATCATTGTGTTCATGACTCCCAGGGGTTAGGTTCATGGATGACACATAAAACCACCCACTTGCCTGGTATCACAGCTCACAGAGCACATCAACCCAAAGGCCCTGGGTCCATTTTGCTGGCTGTCCTAACCTTTGCTATCTCAGCCAGGAAGGCATCTGTTAGGTCTCGGGGTGGCTGGGCAGGATCCCAGGTTGTCTTGTGGTCAATCAACAATTTATCCAGGGAGTTCATCAATGCATTCTTCTTGGGGAAGGCTTTCTCAGGAAGCCCAGGGATGTGGAGGAGTACTGGGAGGGCTTTCAGCACCTGTCAAAGAAACAGAAGACATCTAGTTGTATTTATTATTAATTGAAAATTAATTAGTTTTTGTGTGTATCTGTGTGTGTGTATACATGCACCTGTACAAGCGCACTCACACATGTGCACAATGCCTTTTGTTTGTTGGCCAGAAATCAATCTGTAGAGTAAGATATATCTCCAACATGGGTCCCAGGGATCCAGCTCAGAGATCCAGGCTTGCTTGGTAAGTTCCTTTACCCCTTGATCATCTATCTCTCTTTCCCCTGAATGCTGTTTCTGTTCGGAGTTCACCTGGACCAGTCTCAGTTCCCAGTCTCTCCCACAAAGGACTCATGGTCTATCTTTACCCACCCAACACCTGCTTCTTCCTCAGTTTGAACCTGTAGGCTGTCTTGTAGCCCAGGATGAACAAAATGGTTATTTTACCCGGCACATCAAACAGTCTTGTGTATTTTCCAATGGACGGGGGAAGTGGCTCACCTCCATTCTAGAGCCATTGACCTTAGTTCACTCTTTCTCTCCTGTTATCTGAGATTTGCCAAGGTTAAGGCATTTCCTCCTGCATTTAACTATCACACAAGGCCCTCACCCTATTTGCCCTGAATGAACATTCATTCTGATTTTTTACAGTACAGAAGTGGCCATGCACACTGACTGCCCTGAGCCTCATACCTCAGCAATGAAGCCAGTGTCCTCTCCAAAACTTTCCTGTAAGGTTTGGAGCAGCCTGTTGAGGAAAGGATCTTCATACTCAAAGCGCTGGGCATAAATGAGGGATGAAATCACATTGCATGCACCTTTATTCAGGAGGGTGGTGGGATTAAATGGTTGTCCTAGGAGCAGAGATGCAAACAAGTCATAACGTTGTTCATAAGTGCATGCCCACGTCTCTACATCTCACCCATCACCCACCAGCCTCCTTGGTGAAGGCGTCACAGAGGTGTCCAGCCTCCTCCATCACCCACTGCTCCAGGGATTTCTTGCCCAGGCCGAAGTCTCGCATGGTGGACACAGAGAATCGCCGCTGTTCTCGCCATTCGCGTCCATAAGGTGCTAACACCACACCTACAGGGACATCTGTGTGTAACCAAGGATACGTGGCTGTGCTGTCTGCTCTGCTCCCGACATTTCCCTGTGGTTAGTCTGAGCCATCAGTGCCCCAGCACTTTGCTATCACAATCAGCACAGGCCACTTTGGAGGCTCCACCCCCCATTGCAGTGACTTCCATTGAAAGACATTGCCTGAACACAGTCCCTCCGTTAGCCCTGCCCATCTCCTCTTCACTGCCCCTCAAGTCTTATTCTCTATATCTTGTCCCCACTATAGCTATTTGCCTTTTGATTTGTGACCATAGCCCAGGTGATCATAGACAGGAAATGGAGGGCGGTCAGCAGTGTCCTCTCCACAGGTCACCAGCACTTCCCGCACCGCCTTTAGTCCATTGATTACGACCACGGGGTTCCAGGCCAGTTGCAAGCTGAACACATCACCATAGCGCTGTCGAAGCTGAAGTAGAGGGACAGAATGCTTAGTAAGTGGAGGTCCCTAGCAGACTGGACAATCCAAGCACAACACATGTATGTAAGTTGGTGTGTGTGTGTGTGTGTGTGTGTGTGTGTGCAAGTGTATAAACTTGAGTTCATTTGCATCATAAACATTATTAAGCCTTGGTCCTGCCTGCCCTATGCCAGACAGATGTTCTATCACTGACCTACAGCTTTAGCCTGAGGTATGACACCCTGTGACTATGCACCCCATCTTCTAAATCTACCAAAAGTCTCACGGTAGATATGCTCATTCAGTCACCTTGCCAGGGCATGTTCCTTGACCCCCTTCCTACCCCACCATACATGAGGAAAGTCCAGATGCCTGAGATGTGGAGCAAGTCCTGAGACCACACAACAGCAGAGATTATAGCAGACACAGCCTCTCCCCCTGCTTTGCTTTCCTGACTGACAGGCTACACTGGAGCCTTGCTCCTCCCCTCTGTCCCTGAGACCTCAGCCACTGATGGGATCACAAGGAACCTATGTCTTCCCTGACCTCTGTCCTGTCCAACCACAGTCCACGCCTGCCTCCATGACCTTGTCCATACTGAGCTCCTGCTCTTAGAAGTCCACAGAAATCAAAGACCCTGAAGCAAGTGCCACAAGGCAACCACTAAGCCTCTTCCACTTGGTGGCCATCTTCCCGTCTATCCTGTGGCTTCAGCACCACCATGGACTACGGGGGCACCATGACCTCTACTGCCCTCCACTGCCATCTCTCTTACCTTGTGTAAACTATACGGCATGTTCTTGAAGTCCACCTGCAGGAGGTTGCCCAACCCAGGTAGTGGCACAGGACCTGGAGGGTAGCGGGCAGTCCAGAACTTGCGTCGGTGCATCAGGTCCACCAGGAGCAGGAAGGTAACTATGAAGAGGACCACAGACCACAGGTCAGCTCCAGTCAGCAGTGCCATGGCTGCCCCTGCTTCCCAGGCTGGGAATGCCTGATCCAGACACCTAGGATCAGGAAAGACACTCTGAAGACGGACTGGGCACCTGGTCCCTTATGAAGGGGATAAGGCTGCACTTTGTTCTCTGCCTTGAACCATGCAGCTGTGTTTACTTTTCAACCCGTGTTTGTAGGGAGGGGTAAGAAAAGGCCAGCAAACATCAGTCTCAGAGATTCCTGCCCTCTCTTCTCTCCATGGGTGTTTATCCAGGAGGGCAGCATCAGTTTCTTCTCAGGGAGCTGTACGCAGTGGTTATGTAGGGTTTGGCACAGCGAGTATGGTAGGAGAACCAGTGACCCTGCTCAAGGTTCAGGATCACTAGGTACAGTGAAGTCAGTCAGCCATGTGCCACACAGTCAGAACCCTGAGGGGCCTGAGGACAGTGTCTCAGAAGGGGTCTAGACTTCTGCGAGTCTCCATTGAACCCTCGGCAATAGGACCTGAGGTGTGACTGACTCTGCAGGCACCATCACAGTGTAGCAAGGGTCACTCAAGTGGCTTGTGTGGCTAGACAAGGAGGGTGAGTGAGAGGCAGTGTGGGGAATGGCGTTCCAGCCATGAGTACAGGTGTGAGATCACTCAGCTCATGAGGAAGACCAACGTCATAACCTGGGAACTTCTTAGCTCTGATCTGAGAAAGCTGAAAACCTATCTACAACTGTCAAGAGAATCCTGGGGAGGCCCCCAGGATGTCCAGGTGTTTGTCACATCGAGGCCATTCTCTGGTTTTACTCTTCCATTGCTTCTTGGTGGGTGGAGCCTTGTGTCTCCAGTTACCATAATTGGGATAGATAGGGTGTCTTCCTCAGGCAGAATTTTGAAGTACTTGTGAACATTGCCACAAATTCGGGTAAGACCACCTTCGAGGCTCAAGGCTCCCTTAGTTGGCAGGACACAGTACCTGGCTATAAGAGTAAACTTCACTGATTGGTTTTATGGTTAGTGGGGGGCATTAGGAGAAAGGTGGCTGCAGCCTGTGGCACCTTGTGGTTGGGTTAGAGGTTGCCGAATTGATTGGGAAGGCCAGACTCAGAACCTGGACACTTATGAGATCAGATCTGAGAAGGTTGTGACAATGTCAGCTCTCAGAGAGTCCCTGGTGGCCATTAGGTTATGTCAGATACTAGTCATATGGTGGTCTCTATCTGATACACAATTTCTCGAAACTCGGGTACAGTTATTGAGATTCAACCTGAGGACCAGAAAAGCAAAACAGCCAACCACTGGCTCTTACCTCGACTTCAGTCCAAAAATGGTGATCCTGCCTCTAGGAAATCTCTAAATGAGATTGTGTCTGAGAACTCTCTCCTCTAGTCTTATAATCCTCTCTGGTTCTGGGATTAAAGGGGTGCGCCACAACCACCTGGTTTCTATGGCAAGCTAATGTGGCTACTGGGATTAAAGGTGTGTGTCATTGCTGCCTGGTCTGTAAGGCTGGCCAGTGTGGCTGTTTTACTTTTCTGATCTTCAGGCAAGCTTTATTTATTAAAATACAAATAAAATGCCAGTTCATTCATCTTTTATTTGCCCTTTGTTTCTTGGCATGTCCTAGTCTTCCAATGCTTGAGATGACATACACTTGGTATATAAAGAAATACAAAGTTTTAAAAATCAACCTCTTATAATTCCTAGATGAGTGTCTGTAGGGTGAAACTGTTCTGGAATCCAGATAGACCCATGACTTCAGGTCACAAAAAACAGAGTCCAAGGGGGTGGGGTGTAGAGCAAAGTCCAGCAGTCACTGAATCCGGTTCCAGGTGGCACTGTTTCCTATGTGAGTGGAGCACGGTTATCAGTCAGGAAAACCAATGGAATATGCTGGGCACACTGGAGGCTCTTGGTTCTGAGTGTTGTAGAAGTGTGAGCTACTCTGTGAGACACAGGACCACAGCTCACTTGAGACAATGCATGCCAGGTAGGAAGAAGGACCATAATCCTTGATCATAGATTACATAATTGTGCGTGTAGGTCACAGGGAAGTTTCATGATACCGTATGAGAACATCAAACAAATTCATCAAAGATACCAAGCCATACACGAAAATGACTTGTTTTTTCTTAATCTAACAATGATCCATCTGAGAACTGAATAACAAGTGGTATTATATATAAAATAGGATTAAAAGAACAAGTATTTTAGGGCAGGACAGTGGCTCTCACAGAATGCTGCTTGCTGTGTAAGCATGAGAACACGCATTCATTCCCGAGCATCTGACCCACCAACCACTAGTGCAATTCCAGTGCTAGGGAGGCAGGAATGGGAGGGTGCTCAGTTGCTGGCCAGATCATCTAGCTCAGTGAGTGGGTTCCAAGTTCAGTGAAACCATCTCAATAAACAAGGCGGAGAAGAGTTGAAGAATACACTCAACTTTGACCTCTGCTTTCCATGCAGAAATGAAGGTATGCATACATGTGCATTCATTCCCCTCTGAAGAAGTCACACAGATACACACACATACACACACACACAAACACACACACACACACACACGTACACACACACATACACACAATGAATAGAATGTTTGCACAATAACCTATAAAAATCGTCAGCAGTGACTGACTGGTATGTAAATGAAATGCAGAGAAGTAGAATTTTAGAGAGAACATTAAGACAGGAAGGCTTGCTTCATTGTTCATGACTTGGAAAGAAATCCTGGGAAAAGTTCTGGTACTCAATGGGATCTACACATTCAATTTAATTCCTATCTGATTCCAAAATTACTAAAATTTATATGGAATATTGAGCGACCACAAATACTATCAAATATCTTTAAAAATGATACGTTTGGGGATAGTGAGATGGCTTAATTAGTAAACAACTTGTACAGGAACATGAGGACGGGAGTTCAAATCCCAAGAACAAATATTGCCTGTAATCTAACACTGTACCTGGGAGTACAGAAAGACCCTGGGGTTTGCTACCCAGACAGTCTAGTCACGTTGGTGAGAATGTGCTCAGAACAGACTCAGAAAGGGGCCCTGTGTCTAAAAACAAGATGGATAGTAATTGGAAAAAGTGGCTGACATTAATCACTGACTTCCACATGCATGTTCCTATCCACACACATGAATCCACATATGTGCAAACACAGATCCCAAGAGCCAAACGTTGGCTCATGCCTGCAATCTAACACTACACCTGAGAGGACAGAAAGACCCTGGGGTTTGCTACCAGACAGTCTAGTCACATCTGTGAGAACCAGGCTGAGAAAGGGGCTTTGTATCTAAAATCAAAATGGAAAGTGGTTGAGGAAAATACCTGACAGTAATCACTGACTTCCACATGCATGTTCCTATGTATGCACATGAATATACACATGCACAAACATACACATTGGAAAACTCACATTTCCATTTTGATTGTTTGATTGGTTTGGTTTTTCTTGACAATGTTTCTCTGAGTAGCCCTGACTGTCCTGGAACTCACTCTTTAGACAAGGTTGACCTTAAACTCAGAGATCCACCAGTCTCTGCCTCCATGATGGGACTAAAGTCACTGTCTGGCTACACTTCCTGTTTTCAAACAGGATCTCAGCTCTGGATTGTGATAGGGCTAAATCCCAGAAGACCCAGTGAATAAACTACGATGCATTTCACATTCTAACCTGCAGCACAGCACCATGGCACACTGCAGAGCTTTGAGAGTCATTCTTGAGAGACTGGGGCCAACTGAGATCTGTAACTACTTCCCAACCACCATCATTGGAGGTTCCTACTCACACGGGCATGCTAAGAAGATAACATTCAAAATCTGGAGTATGCACTGAGCGTGTGATACATTCTTCTGATCTCATCATTTATGGTCTGATTACCAAGGGTAGCCTGAGCTACCTAGTGAGACATCAGTTCAGAAAATAAAACTCAAGTTGAACAAGAGTAAAAACATATTATGTTTAGTTACTACTGGGATTGTATCACTTTTGATACAATATAGCGGTATAACTGCGACACCTGCTAGTCCACATCATTATTACACCTTAAAATCCTCATCTGAACCAGGATTTTAAGGGAGGTAAGTGATCTGACGATGGCAGATAATATCACCATCCAGAAATTTAAAAACCTTTTTGTTTTTACTATGGAAGGAATTTTAGAAGAGGTATATGACCTCCCCGGGATGTATACATACTTAGTCTTAGCCGCTATTAGTTTGATACTTCACATACATTCTTAGAGAAATGGTTTGATAACAGAGTCAAGAATGAGAAACTTTTAGAAATGATACTGACTGTACAGGCTAGTAAAGAGAAGTTGGCTGAAAAGACTCATAAGTTGAAAATGATAACCATAATTTGACAGACAAAATTCATTCCATGTCAACAGGTTATGGAACCTGACAGAATGGTATGGAGATTATCTGAAAGGATTCATACTGTTGAAATTGATAATCAAAATCTGTTAAAAAGTTACGAAAAGCTAGCAGATAGAACCTTCCTCTTGGAAGGCAATCTATATGCTATCTAAATAATATCTAAGGATGAGAAGATATCATTAATGGAAAAACTTAAAGAATTGAAATCACATGTACATGATGAGAACCAGAAATTAGTTGATTTGATGAAATCATTAGAAATATTCGTAGGTAAAGAAATTCAGACTCTACAAAAGACAGTGATACGTAGATTTGAAATCATTGAAGAACTTGTCAGGACTAATATTCAAGGAGATTATGTACAGACAAAAGACAGTACATCTCAGAGTCAGAGATGACTTACCAAGAGTTATAGCTACTTATCCTGTTACTATTTCTGAAAAGCCAGCAAATAGTAATTACCCAAAAGGAAATACAGAATATAAATGGGAGACTATGCATATGAAAGATCTAAAAGATGTTAAGCAAGCAGTAGTATCTTACGGCAAGCATTCACCATGTGTGAAACAGTTGGTAAAGACATGGGCTTCAAGAAATAAGGTTACTTCATGTGATTGGCTTCAGTTAGTCTCAGCTGTATTAGACCCATGGTCCACAGCTTCAGTGGAAAAGTTATTGGAGAGAGAAAGCTAAGACTCTTGAACATCAAGGTACAGCTAAAGGTTTTGAGGCCTCCCAAGA